TATTTTTTTTGTGTTAGTGCCATCTAGCGTCTTTTCTACGTACCACCATGAGAGTTAACCAATTTTGATTTGATAAAATGACTACTTATAGAAAAAAAGAAATAGATGGTTCTATTAAAAAAATTACATATATAAAAAATAGAAATTACCTAATTAACAAACAAAACAGATATGTCTCTTCTTAAGATCGAAGAAGATGATGCACTGTGACACATCTGTATATAATTTTATGTAAATAAATGAATGATACACACCATCTATGTTATTCAAAAGTCATTGATGAATAATTGAAATGTTTCCCTGTAATACAAAAGTTTCACTTCTGTCGTGTGTCTTCACGATACACACTGTTTTTTGTAACGCTTTTGTAATATATTTATATAAGTAACTAGCTGTGCCCCGCGGTTTCACCCGCGTCATCACATGTTTGAGGTGCGCGACATGACCTAGTTCAAGCATTTTATAATTGCAATTAAATATTTTATTTGATAGCAATGGATGGAAAATTTGGCATAATTAATGGAGTACTTTTATCTGTCGGCATATTATGTATGATGTAGAGCGAAGTTAAGTTTTATCCACTTTCCCTCCCCCTCCTGGTTGAGCAGTTCTCGCAGGCCAAGGTTTATGTGCCGTTCGCGCGCCCATCAAGTATTGAATTATTTTAATTTTACATTATCTCTTAAACTATGAGTCCAAATAACATGGTATAAAGAACAAGGTTTATCTTCATAAAATTGTCTTGATGATGAAGTAACTTTCGTTCGTAAGGATAAATAGGCCATGCCTAATAATAACGCTCATAAATCACTTTAATTTTCAATATTTTTTGTCATAAAACACCTTATTATGGCTTATGTATAAGAAATAGACATATGGTATCGAGGACTTTTTTTAGACGAATTAAAGATCTATATTTTTCTAGAACATTGTATTTACGTATCGTATACGTATTGTATAACGATAACACCAGCGTACGCGGATAAATCATTTCGAGAGTGCGTTTTCTTCTGACTTGCTTAACAAATATCCATATTTTAGGCCAGCTGAGTGATATAGCTTAATGTTAGATAGCCTATATTATTCCACATGAATCTGGCTATAATATACAAAAATAATTTTTCAAATCGGACTGGTAGTTCCAGAGATTAGCGCGTTTAAACAAACAAAAAAACTCTTCCGCTTTATTATATTATAAGTATAGATACATATAAATAACTTACATAATATATATAAGTATTAATATAATTTATACTTTTTTTAAATTTAACACTGAGAAAATTAATAATATATAAATATAAAGCTAAGGTGGAAATTCGAATAAACGAATAGGCAACATGACAGCTAAGTAAGTGTACGAGACTATTTCTTAACACTGTAGTTGTCGCGCCTTATATAAACAAGAAGTGGTCACATGGATTTCACATGTAGTCCAATCTAAAATAAGAAGAAAGCCGTAAAATATCAACTTTAACTAATACATACTCTATTTTAAATAAAACAAGGTAACATTTAGTCAACGGTTAATTATATTAAATAAACAAAAACATTTATACCTCCTTTTTATACAAATAATAATAATGAAAGAACTTTTACATATTAATATATGAAAATGGCACATTAATTTCAAAGTGACATCACAAATTATTGTTTGCTGTGTATAATAATGTGATCGCTAGTGTTTCCTCTATTTGTTGATACATTCTTCGACCAGCAAGTTATTATTTAAAAATAAATCATAAATAAATGCACGTGCACGTGCTGCACTGAGCACGTCCTCCTACTTTTCAACTTTTAATACTTGACATGTCAAAAGATTCATTTTTAAGTGACTTTTCTGAAATATAAAAGTGGAATAATATTACTCGTATAATCCACCCGACCACTGTAGGGTTAACTTTTAGGTTTTTCCAAAATTGATTTGTAATGTGATTGCGGATCGATATCGATATTTTTTTTATTACTCATTGAAAAAGCATCAAAATTTAATCACTCAACTAAAGAAGAATATTATTGAGTAGATTCTGTTACCTAGTATTAAAATAAAAATGTACATGAACAATTTCTATCCTTAGATAAAATAAATTCATAAAATATTTTATCTGTTAAGGAAATGAGGCCCGCGACTTCGTCCACGTGGATTAAGGTTTTTAATTCTCGCGGGATTTATTTAATTTTCTGGGATAAAATGTAGGTTATGTGTTAATTCAGAGTACCCAAATATATATATACATCGGCTTGATTATTGACGGCTCCGTGGCGCAGTGGCTTAGCAATGAGTTGCTGCGCTGGGGGGCGCGGGTTCGAATCCCGCACGGAACAAGTATTTGTATGGTCTATAAATGATTGTTCCGGGTCTGGATGTTTGTCTTTGTGAAATTTGTGTTTGTAAACTGCCTCCACGATACAGGAGAAAATCTTAGAGTGGGGGTAACGTTTTTTAAGATAAAAAAACAAAAAAAAAAACTTATCTTTGTACCGAAACATCGCCAATAGGATAAAAATATTTGCACAATGTCAATTTCTTTACTAGTGCTGAAAGCTCGGTCGTTTTTTTCGTGTTTTTTTTTAAATATACTTAGGTACAAATTAGATGCGTTGATAAGAGGCTCCCAATAATAGTTTTTCGCACAAAAGAAGGAACTTGAAAAAACAAGGAAAAAACAATCGGGCTTCTGATACCTAGACACAAACCGGGGTATTTGGTTCGGGGACCGCCTGATTTCCCACCCTAACTATTATAATCATGTAGATCGTGCCGAAATTTACCTTTATATTCTAATGATATTGTAGCAGTTTTTCATTGCCTAAAAACTCGGTTGGCATTAGGATAAGTTTTATCTTAAAAAAACTATAATACATACACAATTTCGCAATTAAAATATTACTATGGAATTATCTTAATCGTTTTACTTTTACAAAATTGCAAAAAGACCCTCACTTAAAAATGAGTTAGGCACAATTGTGCAATCGAAAAAGAGGTTGGGAACCTACCCGCACAAGTAATATCTGTTCGATGCACTTTGATTTATCCCAATTTCAATATTTTTCAAGTAGTATTAGCATTGCAAATTAATCAGTAATGTTTTAACAACATTACTGTTAACAGATGCTGTAAGTGTTATTCGTTAGGGATTGGTTTTTGAGGCAACCCACTCATCCCAATTTCTGTTATGGTACTTAGAGCCTATTTTATTTGCTTTTTTCATGCAAAATTACAGTTCTTTAGAGTACCAATAGTCTCTACGCTAAGCCACAGACAGGCGGACGGACTTGGTGAAACTATAACGATTCCTTGTTATTTTACTAGGGAACCCTAAAAAGACTTGTTGCGCTGACCAAACTAAAAGTTTCAGATTATTTTATTTGTTCGAGTGCGTTTTCTTAATGCTTGTTTTTTTTCCCTTAGGGAAACTATCGACATAAAATATCGATATGGTAACATCGCAATTAATTCGTCTGTTTTACACTCATAACTTTTTCTATGTTGATGTATTTAACCTATAAGTGTGCGTAAAATGTAACAGTGTTCGAGATTTAGATTTGTGTGTGCCATAATGACACAAAATTTTATTGAGTAGGTTTGCAGTACTGTCTATGTAGTGTCCCCACCCTGCACCAAAAGTGACAGACTTGGTTGTTCGTATCATTCATTAGGCGCGTTACTCGTCCTTTGGGTCGAACTAAGATTGTTATTCATTTGTTGAATTTTGCGCTTTACGGTTTTTTTATAATCACTAAATAATCAGCATAGCGTCTATTGGAAAATAGTGATTGTTGCGATGTAATTTGTTACTATTTATAATATTGAATAACTGTGTATTAATTTTTGATAATGACATCTTGGGCTGCTGTATCTCATTTTGAAATTTTTGACGTTATTAAAAATTTTGAACTGTGTAAAAGTAACGATAAATTAAAATCGAAAAAAGATCATGTGTGGGTTAAAATTTGTTCACATTGGATGGACGACTGTGGAAAATATCGGATGGAACCGATCAACTTATATTTTTATATTCATCACAATCGGAATGAAATTTATGAGAGCTACAAAAAGTATCGTAGTGAAATTTTTGTAACAAACTCCATTGAAGAGAGTAATCAGCATGAAGAAGGACATTCTTATGAAATGTCTGAACAAATATCAGATGACTTTACTCTTCGTCCACAAAATAAAAATCATCCATCCAGAAATAAAATTCTTAATTTTCAAATTACTTTTTCTGAAGCACAGTGGTCGTTAATAAAACCCATTGAAAAATTTGATAGAAATAACAAGTTATATTTTAGTTTTCAAGACGGGTGGACACATATAGTTTGCGAATTGATATATTTAGATCAAAAATTGCCCTGTGCATTTAATTTAAAGACTCATAATATTTTTAAAGATGATTCTACTGAAACGGATGATAAAATGATAATTAAAATCAATGGATTTTGTACTGAAAAAAATTGCAAAGCTGCCATTTACGGTGAAGGCACATATAAGCCTAGCCAAAAAGGTGATGTTTCTATTAATATTATTACTTTGGATACAAAAGAAATTGCTCATAAAAAGAAAAGACATGTGTCTGGGCCTTTACGGAAAGAATTTAAAAATGAATTGAAAATGACGAAAGCTGAAAATTTTAGAGAAAAATTAATACACAAATTCCACGAATATGGTCAACAAATTCCTGCTATCATACCAAACAGAACTGTATGTCATAAAATAAAACAGGAAGCAATTAATGAAGATTTAGGTATAAAAGGTACGTTGTGGGAATCTTTAAGTGAATTAAAATATAATGTCGAATTTCGATCTGCATTTCAGCAGCTTGGATTTGATAAATTTTTTTTATTCTATTGGACACCTGAGCAGATAGATGTTTTTAATGATTTACTAACCTTGGAACCTGCTGTTTCTATTGATGCTACAGGAAGCGTAGTCCGCAGAATTCTACGCCAAGATAATTATTCCTAAAATAATTATTGGTAAATTAATCGTACCGGTTTGTCAAATGCTTACTGAAAGGCACGACACAAAGATAATAGAATTTTGGCTGAAAGAATGGTTTTCCAACAAAGCTAACATTCCATTAGAAATAGTCACAGATATGTCAAAACCTTTACAAAATGCAATTTGTTTAGCTTCAAATAATATTACATATAATCAATATTTATCAATGTGCTATCGGTTTTTAATTAATAAAAGTCAAGTCTTAATGAAACCTTACCTGCGTATAGATATAGCACACTTTATACACTGGGTTTCGCGTTTAAGTAGTTTTGCTAAAGCTAATCTGGCTGTAAAAGACTTTTATTTACGAGCATTGGGTTTAATGACTACTGTAGATAATTTGGACATGATTACTAAATTGATGAGAGCAGTATTAAAAATTTGTCAAAATAATTATGGTTGTTCTGACGATATTAAGTGGTTACTAAGTAAAATAAAAACTTTTAAATTCGACGATAGTGTTAACTATAAGGATTTAAAACACAATAGTTCTTGTTTACAAAAGAAATCATGTGAAGTTCACTTATCTTGCCAAGAAGAATTTATTAACTTGAATGATATTGAACATCTCTGGGAAGAAAGTGATGAACTAAGTAATTTTATTGAGGATTTAATAACAGAAACAAGCACAAATAATAATTCAGATACATCAATTAACTATAACGACATTAATAGCTATTATCATCCTGGAATTCTACCTGATTTAAAAATATTATTAAAGAAATTTCCATCATGGTCAAATGTGATGAAACCTCATTATAATTGTCATAATAATGTTCCAACTTCAGCTCGATCTGAAAATTATTTTAAATTTATTAAGAATAATTTATTAGAAAGTCACCAGCCGATACGTGTGGATAAATTTTTAATTAAGCATATAAGAACAATTTGGGCAAAAATAAAAGAAGCAAGAGCTGCTATTGAACTATTAAAAATAGAGCAAAAACAATTATATAAAGAAAAAAAGATAAAATGCAATAAAATAAAAATTGACAGCATATTGAATTTACATGAAAATTGGAAAAACCAAGTAAGGCCGGAGAATGTTTCCATTTCAAGTTCTGAAGACAGTTATACCGTGGTTGAGGAATCAACGGCAGTTTCTGATATTAAGTTTAATGAAGATAGCTTATCCAAACCAGTATTAATCTCTACTCCAACAAAAAATGAAAATTTAACTATCGATGATAGCATTCAATTATTAGGGTCTCCAATTGATGATAAGTGTTTGGTATCATCATCTATCAATAATACTTGCCGTTCTTTAGAACAAAACAACAACAAATCTGAAATCAATTTTTCTATCCAATTAGAATCAAATCAACCTCGTTTTGAACGGAAGTGTAATAAATTATCAAAAAAAAGAAAAGACATAGATACAAAAAATTCAGGTCCGCAACAAAAACAGGGAAAATATTTAACGCCTTTTCCAGAAGTTGAAGTTCATCATTCTAATGCGCTAGATAACAAGAAATTGAGAATAAAAAAATCTAAGAAAAAAATTATCAGTAACGGTATGTTCATCCCTGCATATCCAATTAAAGGTAAAAAATTAAGTTTATATAATACCTGTCCTTTTGATAGCTTGATGGAAGTTTTATCCTTTACTTATCTTAACTACAATAATTTTAAAAATGTTGTAGATTCTCAAGTAAAACCTAATTCATTTTTTTCATGTTTACTGCATTATGCTAAGTTTGGTGCAAATGTTGCTTTTAACAAAAAACGGCTTAGTTATTTAAGTAGTAAATATCCAATAGAAAATTATTCTGTTAATTGTAGAGATGATGTTTCGGAAGTTTTTGCACGAATTATGCATGAATTGGATTGTAATACTGAACAAAGTTATTGTCAAAATAATGCATGTAATTATGTGAAAATCGTTAAGGATCCAGTGTTAAATATTAGTGCTACATTGGTTTGGGAAAACGGATTAAAGTCGTTAAAAGATTGTATTTGCCAAGAATTGGAAAAAAAAAATCTTTACTTTTGTGATAAGTGTCAGAGTATATCAGCCAACAAAATAATTAACATCACTTCTTATTTGTGCCTTAATATTGCTCACTTTTACGAACCGTCAATATACCTTAAAAATTTAAATAAAAAACAACGAGAATCATACAATCTCGAAGAAATACCTAAAAATTTAGATATACTGAATAAGAAATTTATATTATCTGGTCTTATCGAATTTGTTCCACCAATATTGCCAAAAGGTGTAGGGCATTATGTTGCTTACACTAGATCTCTAAATAATATTTGGACACAAATTAATGACACTGAATCAAAATCAAAAGTATTTAGTCCAAGTATGCGAGAGATTAGAGCAGTTTTACTATTTTATGTGTTAGTATGAAAAAAATGTTTTGTAATATATAAAAAAATAATAAAAATATTTTTTACATCTTTTTTTTTTGATTTTGATAAAAAAAACCTTACCTCCACACTGGGATTTTCTCCTGTATCGTGGGGGCAGTTTACATACATAAATTTCACAAGGACAAACATCCAGACCCGGAACAATTATTTGTAGGCCATACAAATAATTGTTCCGTACGGGATTCGAACCCGCGGCCCTTGGCGATGCAACTCATTGCTAAGCACGGAGCCACTCTTGACATAGCTAGAATCTTAGAAAGTTAAATAGTGCTCTAAATTATGATCATCTGATTTATTTAGATATTCGAATTGGTTTTCAATAGCGAATTACGATAAATCCATCTGGAAAGAAAATATAATTGTAGTTATAATCGTTATTACTATTTTGTTTATGATAATCCAAAAAATACACCAGTAATTGTACTAATAATATTATAATGTAAATTATTTTCAATTCATACATAACCAAAAACAGCTTTTGCATCGTCATAGCTACCAGCACCACTACTACCATAGCGTTTCACTATTATAGCTTGTAAACAATACTGTTGCATGAGGACACTAGAACAGGTTGATTTTAGTTCAATTTAATTTCAATGAAATGAAAATGTTGGCATCCTGGTTAGCCACTGTTTCAATACATAGATATATGATCAACATATTAGTCCTCTCTACGAGTAATTAATACCCAACTTAAATATAACATACGTGTAATATTTTATGCGATCAGTTTGTGGTCGATGATTTCTTTAACTGATAGTAGTGCAATTAATAAAAAGTATCATTTTATAGTATCATTCATAACAATACGGCTATATCTGGGGGCACGGCAGTGCCCCCGCCAAGTCGAGCAAAACAGCGGCATGGCCGTACCATCCTTTTCTCGAAGCAGTTTAAAACTATAAGCCTGAATTTTCAGTAACCAAGTAGGCATTGTATAAACTCGGTATATTTCAAATTTCATTAAATTTGAACCAGTAGTTTAAGAATTATAAGCAGTCAGTTTCTTAATTTTGTCACTCACTCACTGACCGATCATCAAAACTCTAAGGCGCTTTTAGCAGACATAGAAACTTCAGATTTGGAATACAATTATTGTTTAGTATATAAAACAAAGGAAAAACTAAAATATTTTGCAATTTCGGTCCAGTTTTCGAGATAGTTGGTGTATAAATAACTTTGTAATCCCATATAAATATATAGGATGAATGAATCAGTGTACCTATATATGTATAATATAATGTAATAATAGGTGTAGATAGGTACCTAGATATAACTATCTACAAAAAGAAATGAGATGCCATCAAAAACATAACTTGTAAAAAAACCCGAGTCTCGCAACTCAGTTCTTCTACCGTAAAAAGTTGTGAGATCCATGTAATACCAAATCAGTTAATTTATTCAGTCCCTACTTATGAGTCCTTCTGTCTTAAGTTATTACGTAATTAGCTAACCGAACAACATTTTATAGTGACCATATCAATATTAAAAATCTTTTAATATTCATATGAAAAATGTTCGCGCAAAACTCTGTTGTCGGAATCGACACCAGATGTCACTCGGCTCGGCGCGATTCCGGTCTGAAGTTCTTCCGAGCGTCACAGTGGCGCGCGGGTCGCAAGCGAGTCAGTCATCTGCCAGATGTGCTAATGTTTGCACGCCTTTAATTTGTGCGGGAACCGCGGAATAGTTAGGGCGTCTAGTAAATATCCTGTCTAGGAATTATAACGCGCATTCCCTGTTTGGATAGCCTTTCCCGGGACTTATTGGGTCCGACTCAGAATCTGTATAAGTGCATTCGGCAATATAAGCTAGTGCGGCCTCGGTATTTAGAACTGTTGCCACGCGAAACGGTAGTGACCTTTGACCTAGAAACTCCGGGCGTGTTTTGTGCGGTAACCTTATACCCCGCGATAGTTAGTGGCTTCTGTAAGCTAGTTAATCGTACGATAGAGTTAAGTGACTGTCATCGTGGTGAACCAAGAAAGTGACTGTGGATAACCTCGAAAGGCCCCCTCAAGTTGGAGCGGTGTCGACGCTCGGGCTGCTGCCGACGGCTAAGGTCTAGGTTCAATCACCATCAGTCACACCCAGATACACACCACATCACCATTCTTTCCCTTGCACTACACAACCACATGCGACCTGACCGACTCCGGAGGGACCAGTCGCCTTGGATAGAGGTAAGTGAACTCCGCCAGATTCCTTCCGGTCGACTGGCCGTAGTATAACGCTCCCCCATATCTTTAGTGTAATTAGAGAACTTCCACGTGGCCTTAGGAGGCCCGACCTACGTTTGCTCGGGAAGTCTTCTGCTGATGGGCCCCGGGGGATTGGATCCTTTAAGGGAGCAACCGTAGGCCGTAACAAACTGGTAGCAGAGCGCGATTCCGGGTTCGATTCCCGGTCGATCCCGACTATAGTGTTTGATAAACATTAAACAATTTTGGTGGCAGGGAGCGTTGGTGTGATTGGTTTAATTGGCATCTACAATCACGCCCGTCCGTAATACGTAAAAATATTTTTTTTGTACGTAATAATAGAATTATTTTCCTTTGTTGCTTTGTTGCTTGCCTTTTTTTTGGTTAGAGGGTAATTTGAAAAGCCGCGCCCTAGGTTGTGCAAGCGGGAGATTTTCTAGAGATATACGTCATGTAGGTAGATGGTTATTTTTACGTAATCGGTTAATTATCGTTGTCGGAGAGTTGTAGTGGATTACTTATCGAAGGTTCGATTTCCGAGCTAGGCATTTTTTGTTGATCGACCGTGATGTGTATCTTCGTTTATACTGTAAGTTGTATTTGAACTAAATAGTAGTAATTTGTATTTGCGCAATTTGAATTTAACTTGATTCGATCGCACTAGTATTTGTTATTTGTTAATTTGATTTGTGTCTTTTTTGTGCTAACTTGTATTTGGTTGATACGTAGCAAGTAGTTCGTATTTGTGTAATTTCTATTCAACGCGATTTGATAGGAACTGCATTTATTAACTGTTAATTTTTTGTTGTATTTTTTATTTGTTATCTTTGTAAACTGTGCTCAAGCCGCGTCGTAATTTGTCTTTAATAGTGATGACATCGCCCAAGATACTGATCCGTTGTTTGCGGACTGAGCTACGCTGGGCCACAAGCGCCCATGCTTTGATAGGTCGACCGGATAGGGTCCATAACTTGATGAAGCGGTTCGAGCAGGTGGATGCTCGAAGGGCCGCAGTGGAGGAGGCTTACGCTGAGCTCGAGGATTCGGATGTGGAGAAGGGAGTCCTGGACTCCTGCTTCGCGGACTATGAGCAGTTCTTGTGGCTCACGGACGAGTTGATCGAGGCTGAAGGCAGGTATGCCGAGGAGGCGCGTGAAGCTCGGATGAGTAACCTGTCCGAGTCCTCTCTGAAGCAGCTTCAGCCGGAGCTGTTGGGACGACTCCCAACTCTGGACCTGCCAAAGTTCTCCGGGGTCCTTTCCGAATGGCTGACCTTCGTTGGTCTTTTCGACAGCCTAGTGGACGCCCGGAGTGACTTGACCCCGAGCCAAAAGATGGCGTACCTCCTGGCCTCACTGGAGGGGGAGGCCCTGGGCGTCGTCGGCCACTTGAAATTGTCGGACGACGCCTACCAGACTGCTCGGGACCTCCTAGCCAGAAGATACGCCAACGTCCGGCGAATTGCAGACGAGCATGTTAAGCAGCTTCTAAGCCTCCCGCTGCTTAGTGACCGGGCCAGACTGCGTCCGGACCTGTTGGATCCAGTCTTGGTGGCCTGTAATACTTTGAGGCGGCTGGGTTTACCAGTGGGCGAATGGGCTTTTTTGTTGCTCCGCATCGTGCTGTCCCGTCTACCTCTCGACCTGCGAATCCATTTTGAGGAGAGGTACGGCGGGGACGAGGCCTCCTATATTCCGCCCTTCTATGACCTGCTGCGGTTTTTGGAGGAGCAGTGCCGGCAGATCGAGAACGCGGCGGGCACCGTTGACGACTTGCGAGACGTGCCCAGTGAGAGGCTGAACCCGCCAGGCAAGTCGTCGTCAACCCCCCCCTGCTCCTATTGTCGAGCATCTGATCACCGGGTAACGTCGTGCCCGAAATTATTAGGTAAGCCGGTTCCAGCGAGGCGAACTATCGCCAAGGAGCGCCGCTGGTGCTGGTCATGTCTGGGAGGGCACCTCCAGCGAGACTGTCCGCATCGACGGCCCTGTCTGCATTGCCAGGGCAATCACCATGCCGTTTTGTGCCTGGGTGCGAACGGCATCTCCTCTCGGGGCTCTGCCAGGCCCTCGACCCCCACGGGCGGGGGCGCTCAGCCACGCCCTCTGCAGGGTGACTGTCGGCGCCCGCCGTCCAGCCACCAGGCCCCTAAGTTTGAAAGGAGTCCCTCCCCCGACCAGTCGGGGGGTAATTCCCCCAGGGGCGGGGGTGTCATCACCCCCCCTCAGCGTGTGGAGAGGAACTTCACGGCCACTCATCGGTCCGCTGGACCCTTCTCACTTCCGTTAGCTGAGTGGCCGCGACTGGTGTACCACTGTTCCCCATTTGATGGAGGCGGCCCTGTCTAGCTGCTGCCTTAGTTCCCACCACGGCCGCCTCCACTGAGCCTTAAGCCGTCAACAGTCCACTTGTCAAAATGTTCTGTTGCCGACGGCCTCAGTGAAGGCGTACAACCCGAGTGGCAACTGTTAAAGGTTGTGCTCTATTTATCTCGGGTTCACGCCATGTGGCCTCCCCTTGGTGGTGGGAAGATTAGGGCCCCTCTGTAGCGTTGAATCACGCTGTCAAGGGGTATTAGATTTGGTTTGGTCGAGCACTTAGTCAAAAAAAATACTTGAATTAAAATTAAAAATTGCTTTGGGCTTTCCGCGAAATTCTCCTATTTGTAGCGGTTTAAATTAAAAGAATTGAATTTAATCTACTCCTTTAAATGCTACTGCATGTGTTTTGTACATATATTTAATCACTGTATTTGATTGTTGCGTTTGTTTGCTGA